CCTCAATCCCCAATTTCCTACCCCAAAACTCCATACCCGAACCCTAGCCTAGAAAATTCCCAAAATCCCAATTTCTCAAACAACCAAGCTATGGCACCCAAAAGAGCACGTGCTTCCTCCTCCACAGCACCTATTTCAGTCCCCGACGTCCCCGGATATGAAGGCATCCATTTCTCCACAACAGCACATCGAAAAAAGTTCATCCAACAGTCCAAGAGACAGGTATACCCTAGTCGATTTCTCTGCACCACTTCGTTGACTGGATTGATGCTCTTCAACTTGATGTATGAGTTGTGTGATAGGCTAGGATTGACATCTTTGATAAATGTTGCCTATAACACACCATCCAGAATTGTACTTGAATTTTTGGGATCTGTTAAATTCACTGCCAATGCTGAGGATGAATATGAAGACAAACTCACGTTCCGTTTGTTCAACGCAGAAAAAGAATTAACGAAACGTGAGTTTGCAGAATATTTTGGATTGCCAGTTTTGGAAACGGACGAGAGAGGAAGAAAAATAGACAACTCAGTTGTGTACACTACAAGAAATCACACATTTTATGACAAAAATTTGTGTGACACACAAAAATTTGTCATATTATATTAAACAATAACTACAAAATTCAAATTCGTCACAGTAAAATGATTTGTTATGACAATATTATCATCTGTCATTTTTACTCTTGTATTTCGTCACTTATTGATGTTTACTATGACGATAATATTGAATTTGTCACTTAAATTTTGAGTGCCAAAATTTGACGCCAAAAATTTGGAGGGAATTTTTTTTATGACAACTTGGACACATTTAATGACGATAACTAGCGTCAAGTAATTTTTTATTATTATGACAAAATCATATTTTGTCATTAATTTTTTTATAAAATAATGACAATATTATTTTGTCATTGATTAACCTTTTGATGACAATGAAATCAAACGTGTCATATTTTAATTTTTAACGAGGTATTTTCTAACAAATTTAAGAGAAAAATTTATAGATGAAAAATTACTATTTAACATATAATGATGTTGTGACCTCATATTATTTATCATTTTACTTATAATAAATGTATCAAAATTAACTACTCTTAGACTAGACTATGGATGCTTTTACTTGGACAACAATATGTTCTAGACCAGACCAGATCAGAACATACCAGCCCAAACTTGGATAGTTATAAAAATACAAAGAGATCAGATACACCAGATCGGACCAGTTCAGACCAACAAATTACAGGAAGTAAGAACATCCTATGACAATTTTTTCCACTAGATCTAGCTTTTGATACTAAACATGGCAAATAAGTCATAATTTTACTTTTTATTAATATATATATATATATATATATATATATATATATATATATATATATGAGACAAAATAACAACAACAAAAATAATACTCCATCCGTCCCATTTTACCTGTCCTACTTTCCTTTTTGAGATGTCCCAAAATAAGTGTCTACTTTCCTCTTTTGGAAAGAAATATGTGGTCTACACTATTTCACTTTAATATACTCAAATCTCAACCACAACTTTTATTTTTTCAACCATTTCATTAATAACCGTGCCAAGTCAAACTAAGACACATAAAATGAGACGGAGGTAGTAGTATTTATAATAATAATAATAATAATAATAATAATAATAATAATAATATAATGGTTGTAGTGTGCCGGCTACGGATTAGGATGTTTTCTTTTGGACTGTTTTCAGTCCCAGACCAGACCAGACCAGACTTAAACAGACCAGACCAGACCAGACCAGACTTAAACAGACCAGACCAGACCAGACCAGACTTAAACAGACCAGACCAGACCAGACCAGACTTCCGTAGTTATAAAATACACAGAGACCAGACGTTTACCAGACCAGACCAGACCAGTTCAGACCAGACCAGACCAGACCAGACTTAAACAGACCAGACCAGACCAGACCAGACTTAAACAGACCAGACCAGACCAGACCAGCAAATTTCAGTCCAAAAGAAAACATCCTTAGTTGGAGTAATTTTTGCAAACCCCTATTGAAGAGGTCATGCTTGTGTACTGTAGAGGTTAATTGAAAACTACTAAAATCTGGAAAGAAAAAAAAGCCTTTTGAATCAAATACAACTTTTACTGATGAAGCCCTGCCTCTTCGTTGCCATCCCCTTGAACGGGCAAATCCGACAAATTTGTCTTTCGTAACCAAATTTGTCTTTCAATTAACCGATAGTATTTACCAATCAACTAATCCGGATTCATATACCTACAAAAACAAATCCAATTCGTGGCCAAATTATATCTTCCTTCGATTGACGATTCCAACTGCACCGGAAATTCATGGACGGCTGAGAGTGGCAGAGTGCAGCTGTGGAAGGGCGTTGAAGGTTGGAGGCCGGTCTGCCGTGACTCTCAATTGCTACGAAGGGTAAGGTTAGTAGCGGTAGATTTTAAGCCATTACGATAACTTGAACATGCCATATTAATGTTTTTTGTTTCTGATGCTTTTTTACCCAATTTTTGCTTAAGTATTGACAAAAGACTGCACCAAGCTTGTCGTACCTTGAACTTAATGTTTGTTTTGCCTATACTCTTATCATTATTGAGAGTAATTTTTGGTTAATGTAACCCAAATCTTTGATTTACACCAGATTTTTTAGTTTAATTAATTACAGGAGCAAGGTGAGTTTTTGCATTAAACATATGGTGATTTTTTAGTTCCATTGGGTGGTTTTTATGTTCTAATCCACCCTTAATGTTCTCAATAACAGTAGGGTGGGTGTTCAAATTGACCTATAATCAATATGCCATCTTCTTACAAAATGTCATGTTCTTACAATTTACATCATATATACCACACATATGTATCTTAGTTTATGGATTGAGTTTCATAGTGGTTGTTTGGATATTCTCAATTAGTATGTGAATATAAGTTGCTGGTGATCCAGCTCTATCATTTGATCAGAGATCTTTTGGTTTATTAATTACAAGAGCCAACCTAGTTTTTGAAATTTGAGTTTAAGTTAGGGTGTTTTTTGGTATTCAACATCTTGATTTGTTTAGAGATATTATCCAAAATGGGACTAAAAAAGTTTGAAAATTCTAAAATAGGACTTCCATGTTTTTATTCCCAAAATAGGACTAATTACTGCCATGTTTTGACAGTACCAGACTTCAAACATGGCAGTATTTTCCAAATTTGGCAGTAATTAGTCCTATTTTGGGAATAAAAACATGACAGTCCTATTTTGGAATTTTCAAACTTTTTTAGTCCCATTTCGGGAACTTTCCCATTTGTTTAAAGTGACTATATAGGTAGTTTTAAAATGTAATACTACAAACTCTACGGATTATTTTTACATTTTGAAACTGTCCTACTACATTGGTTTTAATATATTTCTAGTACAACACTACAACATGATCTCCTAAAAACATCATGATGATATTTTAAGTTTACATTTTATTTTTTATAAAAGTAGATCCAAAAGGTTCTGATGCACACGGTATTTATTTTTAAGGCTGATTTGTGTTGTCAAAAATATAAAAATGGATCCTAAGTCATACTATATGCACAGGGACTTGATATCTTAATGACTGATATTGTTTATAATATAAATATTCATTAAACTATTTTCTAACCTTGTTTTTCTTATAAACTTTTCTATATAATAGGTGGGATCTTAAATGGATAAGAGTTGGATGCATGAAATTAAATGGTCCCATGCTTATGTGGATGGGGTAAAAAAATTTATGACATTTGTTGAAGACTATAATGGTCGAGAGGGTGTGATTAGATGTCCCTGTGTTGGTTGTTTGAACCTCAGAACTCAACATAAAGAAATAGTTAAGATTCATCTTTTGGAGCGCGGAATAGATCCAGGATATAATACTTGGTTTTATCATGGTGAAGAATCAGGTTCAAGAACTTCAAAAAAAAATCATACCTATACAGGGAATGGAACGGATAATGTCTATGAAGAAGAAGAAGAAGATGGTATTACTGAGATGTTATTTGATCTAGGTCAACAATACAATCATCAAGATAATGATAATATGTCAGCAGAAGATAGTTCTAATAGTGGTGGTCTTCCACTATATCTTGAGTCATTGATGCAAAATGCTCAAACAAAATTATATCCTGGTTGTGAGCAAATTTCAAGAATATCTTTTGTCATTCAGTTGTTGCACATTAAAGTCTACAACAAGCTGAGCAATAAAGCAATTGATATGCTCTTGAAGTTGATGAAGTTATCCTTTCCGAATGGTGAGACACTTCCAGGTTCATATTATGAAGCTAAAAAAATACTGCGCGACTTGGGGTTGGGATATGAATGTATACATGCTTGCAAGTATGATTGTGTTTTATTTTGGAAGGAAAACAAAGACTTGGAAAACTGCCCAACTTGTGGAACTTCTAGATGGAAAAGCAATGGTGATGCGGGAAAGAAGATAGCACATAAAGTTTTAAGGTACTTTCCATTGAAACCTAGGCTTCAACGCCTTTTTATGTCCCAAAAAACATCTGAAAAGATGGTATGGCATAAAGAGAAACGTATTGATGTTATTGATGTTACAAGGACAAATTTCCTACATGGTTCAAAATCCAGGTACGTATACATAATATAAATAAAGTCTGCTGTTGCACCATATACTTGTGATGATGTTATTGATTATTTTAAGCATTTTGTTAGATGAGTAGATTACTTAAACAAGATCCATCTGAAGCAAACGAGTCTCTTTATTCACTTGCATGTGCACCACATAGGTGTGTTCGAAAGTACTCTGGCTGCATTGTTAATGGAGTAAGATTCTTAACTAAAGATCGCGATAGTCACCGGAAAACTCAAAATAGTGGAATTGTTGTGGAGGGGAACCATGGTGAAGAGATCATAGATTTTTATGGTGTTCTAGTTGAAATTGTTCAACTTGATTATGTGAAAGATTGACATGTTACTATATTCAAATGTGATTGGTTTGATCTCGGAAAAAGAAAAGAAGGGATACGAAAGGAGGGATATATTACTAGTATTAAAGTGACTAAAACGTGGTATGAAAATGACTCATATATACTAGCTGATCAAGCCAAACAAGTTTTGTACATGAACGATCCTAAATTAGGACGTGACTGGAGAGTTGTGCAACCATTTCAACATAGACATATATATGATGTGCCAGAGAGACAGGACGAAGTGATAAATGTTGATGATGATTCTTCGATGGAAGACGAAGTGTATCAAGAGATTGAAATTAACGATACATTTGAAGTTATCCAAAATGATATACAATCCTTACATAGAGAGGATATACAATCTGAAGACGATGAGGAAACATTCATTTCAAACGAATCAGTTGTATCACGTGCAGTTGATATCGATGATGCCCATGAAGAAGATTTAGATGACACTCCAATTGATAGTACTGAATCCTCCCAACAAAGTACTAGTACTGGTTCTGAGTTTGAAAGTGACGATTCTGATGGATAATTTGATGTTGCTTGCTATTCTCAATGAAATGTGGTAAGATTTTATTTGTATTGCATTGTATATCCTTATTTGTTGGCTTACAATATTTCATTCTATTTTTCTTATCTATGTTTTGATTTATAACACTTAGCAAGTACGTAGTATTATGTATTAATTCAAGCTTTTGGTGTTATTCAGTTATTAAGCTGTATATATGTATGTTTATTTGTTTCAAGAACATTACCTAAAGGTTCTGTTTGAGGTTGTTTAGGAATCCTTGCTCAGGAATCATGACAGCTTCTTCTAGACGACATCTCAGCAATTGTCTTGATGTGATGCTCGTTCCTACACTGCTCTTCAAGTCTCACATAAATTTTGTTGAGAAGAGAAGTTGCTCTGAATATGCAGAATGGTTGGTGGGAGAGTTCTGAATATAGGATTTTATTAAACTTCGTTCATGTAGTTTTTAATGTTAATCTGTATGCAAATTTTAATATCTCATGACCTATTTTATTCTCTGTTTCACAAAGTTTGAAAATACTTAGTTTGTTCAGAAGGATGAATAGCAGGAGCTTGAACAAGTTGAATATTAAACTTTCTTTGAGGTTGACTGTGAACTGATGTTGTCTTAGTGTGTTGCAAGGAAAGTGCAGAATATCCTGCTTATTATGTTTTAGCGCTATTATGTTTTTTTTTTTTTAAAAAAAATCGGGAAAAACGAATTGAGACCCAGAAACCAACCCTAATCCGGATCGAACTACGACCGCTCCGAGTTTTCTTATTTTTGGACGGCCTGAACAAAATTAAACTCAAAATTAAGATATACTAGTATTCATTTGTTTGGGATTTTGGAGATTGTTAGTCTTATTGTTTATAATTCATATATTTGGGTAATTTTATTTGAAAACGGATTTTAAAATATAAAAAGATAAGGTGCATGTTGAGATATCAGCCTCCGCCCCGATACGATCCCAAACATACCAGCAAGGCCCAAATTGGTTTGCAGGCTTTGTAGGCTTCATTGACTGAAGTAGGGATGGACATAATGGTTTGGTTTAACCGAATCGAACCATACCAAACCGAACTAAACTAAATCGAAACTGGACTGTATGCAATTTGGTTTGAGTTTGGTACTATCTCTTCCAAACCGTATTAAACCGAACTGAAACCGATAAAAACCGAATGAAATCGAACCGAACTAAAAAAATTCAAAAACACCTTCATATATTATTAAAAATTAACAAATTCAAACCGAACCAAACCGAACCGAACCAAACCGAAAAATAGTATGATTTTTGTTTGGTAATAATTCTTCCAACCCGTTCCTAACCGAACCGAAATCAATAAAAACCGAACTGAAAACCGATATACCTAGCCCTAAACTGAAGTTACCGTAGATGACTATTTTAGATATTTTCATATTTTTTTAAATATAATTTTTTTCACAATTCGATCTACCAAAATAAGCCAATCCAACCATCTTGTAGCCTGTTTGGTAATACCCAAATCATCTATATTGGCTAATTCTAGGGGTGGGAAAAACCGACCCAAAACCCGATAACCGAACCGACCCAACCCGATATATGATATTGGTCCGGGTTTTATGTTAAAAATGACCGGTCCGGGTTGAAATACCCGACCCGAACCCGAAATCTCGGGTCCTAATTCGGGTTCTAAAATTTTAAGCCCGACCCGGACCGAAAAAACCCGATTTGATTAAGCAACTAAAATATATATATATATATATATATATATATATTATAAAATATGTATGACCTATTAATACATCATAACGATTTATATATATATATATGTGTGTGTGTGTGTGTATGATACGTACGGACTATTTTATACTACATCCGTCCCAATTTGATTTGCAAAAATGACTTTTTTAGTCAAACAATTATATTTTATTCAATTAATTTGGATGTCAATTTTTAATTATATTTAACTTGGAGTGTGCAACTTTGAATATATTTTAATGTAAATTTTAATTATAAAAAATTGAATGATGTATCAATATGGAGTATTTAACTTTAACATTGGTTGACAAAAAAATCTTGACTTTGTAAATCAATTTGGGACGGAGGGAATGTTACTTTGCTTTCGAACCAATTGTTCTTCTACAACATTTTCTATCGTGTGATTTTTATATTCAAAATATACTGCTTTGATTTTAATATACTACATATATCTTTTGATTAAAAGTTTAGATGTTGCAATTTTTGTTGTAATTGTATTTTAATTGTGTTTAGATATATCAGTTCGATTTTTTTGCGGGTTCAATACGACCCGACCCGAACCCAACCCGAACCCGAGGCTCTTAAAACTCGGACCAACCCGAAAGTATCGGTCCGCCGATCGGGCCCAAAAATGTAGAACCCGAAGCTTTTCGGGTTTTTTACGGTCCTAGCAAAAACCCGACCCAACCCGACCCGATCCCACCCCTAGCTAATTCTGCTAAAATTTATAAAGTGTTGGTTGAAGTGGCTGGATTGACTGATGTTCCCTATTTATGAGAAATTATATTTAAAATATACTTCAATAATAAAATGAAGAAAAAATTATATGAAAAACAGCTAAAAAGATCTTTTATAGTAACTTCAGCCAATACAGGCAGAAAAGTAACTATAACCTTACTTTTTGTTAGTATTACTAGTGTAAGAGAATGATGGATTATAGATGTTTTTAATTAAATTAATTTAAGTCAATTTATCGGATTAGATCTAGTGAGACTTAAATAGATTAATTTAGACGAGACTATACTTCGATAACAGTAAAATACAATAAAACAAACATCTATCATATAAGATCAGACATCTATCATATCTTCGATTACAATAAAACCAATAAAATGAGCATCTATCATATCTTTGATTACAGTTCAAAAAAATTATATTAGATCAGATTAGATCAGACTTAGACAGATAAAAAAATGTACTACCTCAATCCTTTTTTATGTAGCCATCTTTGGCTTTTCCAATCAAAAGTGATAAACTTTGATCCATTATTTTGACTAATATATTTATGTGAAACTTAATAAATTTATACTTTTATGATAACATTTTTAAACAAAGAACATTTTATATAATTTTCATATTATCAATATTACTTCGATAATCGATTAGATAAACATATAATCGATCTAAGTTGAACAACTTATTTTAGAATTTGAGAATATAAAATTAATCCAAAAGTGCACCCATTTCATTCACCACTTAGGGCCACAAATAGCATTAATTCCACTATATTTATCAATAGATTTTAAAGTCAATCCTTTTGCACATACTGGATCTCATTTCTAGAGAATACTCTTCCTCCCCATAGCTCTTGCCTGAACCAAGTTTTTATACTACGTATATCACACCGATTTGTCCTACCCTGCAGCTTCTTTGAACTTTTGAAGTTTTATTGCGATGCAATTTTAAGGAAGATGAGGATACACTTGAAAAGCTCTTCACCAATGGTAATTTTTATCTTCCATTCTTTCCATAATTTGTTAATTATCTATACTAAATCATTAAATATGTAAAAATATACGGGTCTTATTTGAGTTATCTCAAATCTTGTTCTGGTTTTATCGTATTACTCCGCTAATAGGTTTTATTAGTAATTTAAATTTAGCAACAAAATCTTAAATTAGGTTTGCCGCTACTTTTTTATGTTTTGGCGGTCTCCCAAAAATTTACTTTGTATAATAGGATACATATATAATTGAATTCTCGATACTCTTCAGTCTTCACACGATATCTCAACCCTAGTTTTTTACTCTTTCGTGGAGTCTTCTCTTTCAAGGGGCGCTCTTTCGGTAAATTTTCCCAACAGGTTTAGATATTATATGTCTACGCGTATTGTTGATTGGCTCAGTAAATTAATTGATAATGCTTTTGCCATATTTCTTGTATTATAAGAATTCCTTTTCAAACTACCAGTTTAATTGATACAGGGTATATTTTATTCTCAATAATGTCTGCTCAATAATTGTAAACATATGTTCAAAATTCTTCATCATACTTTGAGTTATAATTTAATACTTGATGTACAGTAGTTTCATTTACGTAGTTTTCATCATTTTTTGTGAAATGCTTTACAAATTCTGGGATTTGAGTTGTTTATTCAATTAATTTCTTATCAAATATGTTTGTTAATTTCACTAGAAAAAATTTATAACTAATAACAATTGATAAGCAATTACAAGCAGGGGTGCCTAAAAATTGCAGTGTGTATAAGTTTGTATGTGTGTATACTAGTATGTCTAAGTGGATGTGAATGTGTATATTATGGTGTATGTGCATTGTGTTTATGTGTATTTGTGCAGTGTGTGTAGATATAACATGTGTTAGTGCATGAGTCTAGTTTTTGCATTGTATCTTTAAGTGCGTGTGTGTATTATGATGTATGTGCAGCCTGTGTGTCATTGTAATTGTGCAGTGTGTCTAGATTTAGTTTTAGTTAGCACCTATTTCTGTCTAACTCTTTTATATATGTTTTAGGAATGGCTCCTGGATTTAAAGGTAACCTGAAAAGAAAAAACAACTGGGAAAAACAAGATGTTGTGCATCATAATTCTAAAAGTGGTCAAGGTAATTCGACAACTACAAAAGCAACAACCAAAAGACCTCTAGACAAAACACACGTGGCATCCAATGAGACAACATTAAACACTGGACGTCCTCTTAGTCCAAGGCATGGCACTGCATCAAATCAAAATGTTGAACCTGCACCAACTGAGAGCATACGTGGCCAAACACCACAAACAAATGTGCTTGGAGGTATAACACATTTTTGTATATTGAGTAGCTAGAATTCCTGGACCACATTTTTTTACACTCATGCAACCTCTAATAGAATATACAGATGGAAGTTAAATGTTGATGTATAATTAGTTGTTTGTATGTTTAGTATATGAATCTGATTATGGGAAGAACCAATATATAATAGTTAGGTCATTTGCATGGATGGATGTTCATCAAAAGTATATAGCTATACTGAGAACTTATGAAACTCTATTAAAGTATACTAAGTACTAACTATACTAATCAATTTAATATATTAAACTACTTAATGTGTAGTCAAATAGAATGGAATAGTGGTAAACATGAAAAAAACAGAAAAATAAGGGAGAGGAAAATAACAAATACAGAGGATGGAAAAAAATGGTAAGTGATGAAACATTAAGCTAAAATACATAATAGATTGTTTTACTTGGCAACTGTTTTTAAAGTGGTTACTGTTTTTAAACAAATGTGTTACAGATTCAACTTCACGTCCTACAAAGCGAGTACGTGGTCAAACGATGGGCAAGGGGATCATGAAGGCATATGCTTTGTCTAAGACTAAACTGAAGATAAACGTTGATCCAGTAATTGGAAGGCCTCAAAACCCTGAAGAGTCGGCAAAGCTTTCAAGCCAAATTGGTATAATTACCCGTGATGTGCTCCCTGTTCCTAGAAGGTGGAAAGAAGTAGATGAGGAAAATGGATTGACTCCTGGATTTGATCATATGCAGGTATGTATCTTTAAAAATGAGTTAGTTATTTTTACTTTGATTGTGATGTGAAAAATGCTTCCAAAAAATGCAGATGCATATGGTTGTCAATGTTGATGATGTGGGTGTGAAAGAAAGCT